GTCTGTTCATGCGCGTGCGCGTGCGGTATACTTACAGGGACAGACATCTTTGCTACTGTTTCCGTCTCTGCCCTCTCTCTCTCTTCTTTCCTCTTTCCTCCCTCTCTTCTTTTCCTCCGTCAGGCTGCCTTCATCCGCGCCATGCCAGGTTTCCACGCCACGGTGGAGCCAAAGGGAGAAGGCCGGGAGGGGGGGGGTAGTTCTGCCGGGGTCCGGTGCTCTGTGTCCGGCCACCGGGGGCCCGCGGGTGTCCGGTCCCCGGTTCTCTCTCCCGGATCGGAGGCTGAATAAACGCCGGAATAAAAACCGCTGGCTGAGGTCAGTGCAGCTCGGAGGGGAGGGGAAAGGGAAGGGAAGGGAAAGAGGGAAGGGGGGAGGGATGGGAGGAGAATCTGGACCCCCCCCCCTCCCTCCACCGGGATGAGCCGGTCCAGCCTTAAAGGGACAGTACACCCGGTCCACGGTCCATCATGGACGGTTTCCTAAATCAGTGTTTTTCAACCAGTGTGCTGTAGAAAATCATCCTATTTCACCTAATTGGTCTAAAAAAAATTTTTTGATAAGGAATTAATTTTCTGCAAATAATTTTGCCATTTTTGAGTGTCTGTGCTGTTCTAGTGACTGGTGGCATAATCATGTAATAATTCCTTATGTCTAGATTTTGTATGTAATTTTGTATATTGAAGTGGACATGTTAAGAGCAATTTGAAAGAAGAAATATAAAATATGATAAAAAATACATTTTTGTGTTTATTTGATTCCTATTCAAGACACTTAAGATAAGATAAGAATAAAATAAGAATAACTATAGTGTTACTATAGGCGGCTACAGATTTGTTTAACATTTTTGGTTGGTGGTGTGCCTCGAGATTTTTTCAATGAAAAACTGTACCTTGGCTCAAAAAAGGTTGAAAAACACCACGCTGTGTGAGGACATGACCAGTATCCTATAAACAAGAAGCGAGTAAAGATAAGATAAGATAAGATAGGATAAGATAAGAGAGCTTTATTGATCTCACAGTGGAGAAATTCACTGGTCACACATCGGTTTAGTGACTAAAGAGAGTTAAAAAGGAGTAAAAGGTGCATAAAGATAAAGTACAAAAAGCAAAAACAAACAAATATACAAGGGAGCAACACAGCGCAGAGATTTGAGTGACTAAAATATGAACAATCACTGATGGCTCACACACAGTACACATATTGCACAGAAAAGACAAACAAACTCCAGAATGAAGGATGGCGAATAGAAAAAAAGAGGTCAGGTTAAAGGAGAGGTTTCAGACAGGAGCCAACACACTCCTACAGCCCCTCACCTTTATTTATAAATACTCCAATCAGCCGTTTTTGGGTTGCCTCTGTTAAAATTTGGCTATAAATACTCACTTTAGCATTGTATGCTATCAAATGATCTGTGTAAATTACTGATTGTTTTCTTTTATAACTATATTTTGTGTTGAAGTCTCTGGGTGTGTCCACAGACTCTCTTTTCTCTCTCTGTTGCATTAGATCCACACCATTTGTCATCAAATTCTATCAGGTTGTTAGGATTTAGCTATAATTACTGACTTTAGATAAGTGCTATCACATGATCTATGTCAATTACTGATAGTTTTATTTTCTTTTATCACTATATTTTTGTGTTAAAGTCTCTTGCTGTGTCCACAGACTCTCTTTTCTCTCTCTGTTGCATTAAATCCCCCTTTAGATCAACACACACACACACACACACACCATTTGTTAGCACATTCCTGTGATCTGCATGAATTAGGACCTGGCCTGTTCCTGCCCAGAGCTAACTTAAAGAATAAAATTGGATCAAACAAGATTTTCTATACATTTTTGTATTCATTAACCTTTTTTTTATTCATCTAACAGAGCTCATTCTGCTGTGTATATTGTGTGTATCAATGAAAGAAAATGTTCTAATTTTCATCTTTTCTGCTGTTTAATCGTACTGGTTGCTTTTGGGTTACATTGAACACAAAGGTGCCACATAAATAAAGCATCACTTTAACACTCAAAGCCAAATAAATGGAGTTATCTCCTCAGGTTTGGCACACCTACTCACCTGGATTTGGCCAATTCCTGGACACACATCTGTCCCGGGTCCGTCCAAAGGGATGGGAGGCAGGTTCAGACTCTTTTTCTCTTTTAAAGGAGGCCGGAGTATCCAGAGAGTTCCCAAATACACTCAGAATTGACTGTATTAATGAGGGGCCCTCGTCAAAAACACACCAGTCTTCTCTCTGATTCTTGTCAGGGCGTTCTTTAACCCTGTAATGCCAAATGTTTCATATTTGATTCATACGGTTTCTGAAATGTTTTGTGTCTGACACCTTTTGCATAATTTAATGGTAAAAACTTTGCTCAAAATCCTATTGTACACAATCAGATACACCTGATAACAGGGGGCAGAAGACTACACAAAAAATCATCTTGATTTATCGCATAGTAATACATTAATAATATTAAAAATGTATTTTTGTTTTTTCCTTTGACATATTTTGTTAAAAGGCCAAATATAGACTTAAAACAAAAAAAAAAGTCAGTTTCTGTTTTGTTTTATTCTTGGATCGGGCTTTAAAAGGGTTAAATGATGGTCGTATTTTTTTAATGAATAAATCAACGTCACAGTTGTCTCATTTCTGTAAGAATTACGTTTTCGAACCGTATAACACAAAAGGGAAAAGATAAGAAACGGAGGCCTTCCTCGTCAGCTCAACATGAGCAGGAAGGACATATTCTGGAAAGATCTTTTCTGAATTCCTCATGGACACGACGCTATCATTAGTAACAATGATTTCACAGGACAATGAGAGTAGAAACGCGGACAAAAAACACAGGAAACTCAGTCACACAGTGAGATCTTCACAATTCAGTTAACCTAAAGGAGCCAAATCTGAA